CAGTAGATAAGAGAGAGTAAAGCAAGAAGAGGGGTTTCAGCTCTGACAACTACCTCAGCTGCCGTTGGAATCCTCAGTTGGGATATAATACTTTGGCCAAGGACATAAATAGCCAGCCCTGGGGGATCCTGCACAGTAAGTGCTGAGGGTGCCATAAGGCAGCCCCTCCCAGCAAAAATACCAAAGTCATGTAACTCCCATGCAACTTCCACAGAACATAACACAAAAGCCAAGTGCTTCTGTGAGGGAGAAGGGGGAGCTGCCTTTGGCGTGTGTCTGGGAAAGGAGCACCTGATGAAATGTGTAGAAAAGTTCATTTCAGGTTCTAGTGTCCATTTATAGAAACTTAGGCATTCCTGGGAAAGCCACGTTGCTATCTGGTCAACACACGCTCCCACACTGAGCCACATCCAGGATCTTGGAGAGCTGGCCACACAGCACTCCTTGTGATCCAAGTGCTCTGATTCACCCTGCCCTTCTCCACAGCGGGAGAAGGGAGCCAGAGCTGGAGAATGTCAACCCTTAACTACTGCCACCACCAGCTCCTCTTGGTTCCTTACTAAAAGCTTGTCTATTCTAATAGCTAAAACCCTGGAAGATACAGGGCCAAGCTACAGAGGGACGTGAGGCAGACCACCACCTGCCCCTACTTCTAACAGGGACCAAATCTCATCTGAAGAGATGGGTAGCCTCCAGCAGGGACAGAACAGCCAAATTGATCTAGAAGTCCACTCGAAGACAGAAATTTCACAGGACATGCTCCATTTCCACAACACTTCTTAGACTTTCAGATGCTGCCTTCCACAAAGGGCAAAAGGTACAGAACACAGCAGCGAAGCACCGAACAGCAGCACATGCTCAGCACAAACAGCACTGCAGGCTCACCGGCACAAAAGCAACAGCCATTCTGGTGCTGCAGACAGGATTACTCGGCAACACCCACCCCACCCACTACCCGCTACAGACTCTTTTCCCCAATTCGGAACAAGAGGAAAAGACCCATCAGGAGAGACTGAATTTCATTCACAAATTATCATCCAGTTTGTCCACCTCAAAAGCCATCACCTAATCACTGCTAGACTGGCACTCCCAGCAGTCTGCAGACAGCACCTAAAAGCTCTGCTTCAGGCTGTTTCTGTTATGGGAGCCCTGAATCTCTGAAGTCACATGCCAGCTACATCAGAAAAACTACAGACCCCACCTGAAGATCACCAAGGTGCTGCATTGTTCTTCCCCAGAGACAGATTAATACGAAGCTGAAGTTGTCTTCCCTCCCAAACCACATCAACACTTTTTATCAACCCCTGATAAAAAATGAAGAGGCAAAATTACAGCAGAAAGATCATCTAACATGCCTGCATCCTTACCCCCAAGCCCATCAGCTGCTTGTCTCTCTGTCAGGATGGCAAGAGCTAGGAACAAGGTCTGTTTCAATCAAAAAAGTAACAATACAAAGTCACAAACGTTCTTTCATTGCAACACACACACTTCTCTGCATGCTGCCCATGTCCCTTGTCCATCAGGTGACAAGAAGGAAATACAGACCTCAGAGACAGGCCCAAAACCAATATGCCTGAAGAAGCGTGGCTCAAGCCCAGCAGTCCAGCACATGCCATGGCCGCTGAGGCAGAGAGCTGGTACGTGGCCACCAGGCTCTAGCTTATAAATCTCAAAAAGCCACAAGAATTTAACTCATTACCTGAACATCCCCACCACTGTGTTAGTTGTGTCAAGCCATGGCACTGTGTTTCCTCATCCCCAAAAGACAGAAGAGCAAGTATGTTAAAGGAAGGGGCAAGGCCTGCTGCTCCAGCAACCACATACTTCTGCAAATGGTAGTATCTCAGGACAGTGTTTCTTTCCACTGTGGTCCTGTCACCAGAGAGAATGAGGGGTCAGTCTCCCTCCGACATAGAAATCAGGATACCATTTGCTGCAACCTGTCAGGTCTGAACCACAGCCCCAAACAGGGAACTGGCTGATGAATTAATACACCGAAAGGTAGCAGCATGGCCTTAGACAAACCTCTCTCTCCCACCTCTTGTGCATGGGACTTCATGTAGATATCCAGCACCAAGTTCCTCCACAAGTGACACTGGTGACAATGTCGCAGGTACGCTACTACTGATGGCTGTATTTCAGAAGCTTGTCAGACAAATTCCACCCAATACTCAAACACAGCTGAAGGACATTGATGAACTCTCCAAAACATTTCTTCCTTACCCTGGAACTTCCGCCTGAGGTAAAGTCCCCACATATATTTTTTCCTAGTTTTTTTAAGCAATGAGATACTAGTAATATTTTAACAACACTAATATATTAATGCCAAAGTATCTAACATGCAAGTAAAGCCCATTCTATACCTCCCCATACATGCACTTGCAAGGACAAGGAAAAAGAATGGAAAAACCTATGTATCTCCTTGTTAAAAAGAGGAAAAGTAAAATGTCATGAAAACCAGCAGTGGGTAAACAAGAGAATATGATTGACTCCTTCACAGGTGTTCACACTCTTCTCGTCTAGAAGCTCTCCAGCATTGATTCAAGAGTTCTCAACTCTTTGCATTTCAGATACCACAGCCAACATATGACCAGAAACAAGTGAGGAAAATCTGATCCTCTACTAGGTGTGCTTGTTTTTTAAAAGATGATTCAATTATTTACTGTTCAGGACTAACTTTGAACCTGAAGGTTACCATCACTGAACAAGTAGCGGCAGCATCCTGAGCAGACATCACCCCAGCAGACCTGGATGAACCAGCAGGCAGAGCTCTCCTCAGGACAGCACTGTTATGTGCTGCCTAAGGCTGAGAGGCTAGGAGCAGAAAAAGGGCAGATGTATCAAAGAAATTACACTGCCTGGCTTCTCTATGTAGTTGGTTGCAATTCCTGATGGAGAGGGACATCAGTGCTTGGCATTCAATAATAATAATAATAATGATGATAACAAAACATGACAGAGTTTTCCGCCTTGAGGATATGTAACTAAATGACGTGGCAAGGAAAGGAAAACCATACAGTTGTGGAGGAATGAGCACAGGGAATAATTTGCCATGCTGGCATACTGCAATTACCGCTGTATTACAGCCTTTGCTAACACTCCCTAAAACACAGTCTTTAACTGAAGACTCAGGAAAAAAGGATGCCTCTGTTTCTTCCCCCTGCCCAACATCATCAGTAAACAAAACAGCTACTTTTCATTCACTGTGATTATGCACCTCAGGACCCTTAACTAAGGAAATAGGTCCTTCCTATGGAGTCCATCCTGCCTTTAGTCACTGCCATTTCTGACTTCTCTGAAAGGAAAGTCTGGGCTTACAAAGCAAAGGCTAGGTACTGAACTGAGGTCTCATTGCCATGTCAGTTCAACCCCCAGAGCAGTGTGGACAGAGGTGTAGACAAAGTTTGCTTTTCACAATTGTTATACTAACCTGCTCCTTTTAGGACAATGAGGATACTACACACATATATAGCACAGACTGAAAATCTCATTGTTTGGATTTCTTATGCACACTGTTGAGTAACTCCAGCTGAAAAAAAAAGTCTGACAGCAAAATGCTCAGTTACTTATTTACTCCTAAATCAGCAGAGCGCTCATGCCAAGTTAAATGCCTTCCACTCTAAGGATTCATTTAAAACACATAAAAACCAGACCACTAGCCTGGGTGATAAGAGCAGGGCGGAAAGCTTAGATTCACTCAGAGAAAGATAAGTATGTTTTCTCTTTCCAAAAGATGAAAAACAGAGTCCACTTAATTCCCTAGCACTGTTCCACAAACATCAGTTCCTCAAATATCATCTCTGAGCATTTACCTTTTTTTGCCTCAACAGTATCTAAATAAATACAGAAACCCAGGAATGTGGGGAAAGGAGACCTCAAACCCACTGCACACAAAGTTATCTGTGAGGAAGAACCCTGTGTTAGAAACCATCTGAATTGCAAAGCATTCAAATCTAAATAGCAGCCACTCACAGGCTGAATCAAAGATGGTCCAGGGTGGTGCACAGTCATGTGCAGGGGAGTAGACTGGGTCTCGAAGCAAGGGGCACGGGTCCAGCCTAGCAGCTAATGCCAGGTTCTGCTTCCCTCTTCACGTCAGCATTGCAGAGCCACACTCACTTCGCTTAGGCCAAATTGCATCAGAATTGGCCTATCTGCTTCGTGCAACAGGGATGAGCGGGTGTTCCGGTGCAAGGGTCAAGAAGCTATTTCCTTCCTTTTAAAGCTGTGGAAAAAGGTATCTCCTCTGAGCACTAGCTGGCTAGGACAGAAGACTGTCACAGCTTGAGCAAGTACGGGTCACTGGCCTCCCTTATCCACCTTGATACAGGAGTGCTTGGGGAGCTTACCTCTCCCTAGCCTGATGGAAGGTTCATTTCTCTTCCAAGCAACAGCTTGTGGAAACTCTGTATCTACTTTTAAGAGGTATGAAAGTGCTAAAGTCCTCTTCCTCCAGGGCTCAGTGACAAGTACTTTTTTCAGTAGACAACTAATCTCCTTTGTCCCTTCTAGTTGTCAGCAGGAGGACGATATTGCAGTGTCAAGCCCAGATGCAACTGCAGATCCAAATTTGCAGGACACTGTCTAAAGTGTGTTTCTCAGCACCGCACATTCCCCTCCAAACCATTCATGGTTCTACTGAATCTTGTGGACTTGAGATTCGCAGCCATGGGAGTAGGAAGGCACTGGAGAAGACCCTTAGAGTCCAAACACCTCTCAAAGCCAGAATCATATCCAAACTCATGCTGGCCCCCACCTTATGTCCCACCGGCCTCTGCCACCTCCATCAGCCCACAGACTAACCCCAGCTGTGTCCTCCCAGGTACCGGCTGCATTTCCCAAGTGGAATTTCATCTAAGTGCCTGTTATCCCTGATGGTGCCCTCCAGGCCCTGTGCACCTCTTCCCGCTCCCCAGCTCACCCCCTTAGCACTCCCAATCTCCGGCCAGGCAGGCGACAGCCAGCGCCAGGGGCCAGCCAAGGAGGCGGTCACCCATTACCTGGTTCCCAAAGACAGCGAAGGAGCAAGCAGTGGAGACCTCTTGGGAGCTGAACCAGACAGAGGCGATGCGTGAGGGCATGCCCAGGATGAAGACCTGGGCCAGGGAGCAGATGACCTGCCCCAGGACGGTGATGGGGAAGAGGTGCGGCTTCAGGCTGCCCAGCTTCACCCAGGCACCCAGAGCGTTGAGGGCCGAGCCGGCCAGGGCGATGACCCGCAGGCCCCTCTTGTCTAGCAGCCAGGCGACGGGGAAGAGCAGGGGGATGTAGGTGAGCATGTAGCTCATGGAGAGCCAGTCGATGGCGAAGGCGCTCACACCGTAGAAGCGCGTGAAGATGTTGTTGATGCTGCCGTACTGGATCCACTGGAAGGCGTTGCACAGGGAGTAGCTGCTGAAGAGCAGCACTAGGGCCCAGCGACGCCGGGACAGCCGCACCTCGGTGGTGGCGGTGGCGGCGGCAACGGCAGAGGCGGCCGCCGCCGCCGCCTCCTCCCTCCCCTCCTCCTCCTCCTCCTCCTTCTCCGCCGCCGCCAGCCCCGGCACCCCGGCAAGCTCCTGCCGCACCATGCCGGCAGCACAGGCCAGCCCACTCGGTTCGGCTCAGCTCAGCTCCGCTTCCCACTGGCACCCACCTGGCCGGGAAACCCCGCCCGGCCGCCCACCACCGAGCTCACTGGCTGCCGCCGCACGGGGAGGCGCCGCCACCGCCCCCGGCCCGGCACGGCCCGGCCCGGCCCGGCCCTCCCCGCCCTCCGCCCCGCCTCGCCGCGGGGGCGGGAAGGGCGCCCGGCTGCCCGGGGAGGGGGGGGGGGACGCGGCCCCGCGGGGGTACCTGTGGGGCGGTAGCCGTGGCGTGGGCGCTGCAGAAGCGCTGCCCGCCTCACAGCTGAGGGGCCGCGACCCCCGCCGCCCCGCCATTTCCAGGCCCCGGCGAGCGGCGGGGAAGGTTTCGGTCGCCGGTTTATAAGCCGGGGTGATGGGCAGGGCGTGGAGTGACCAAAACCGTGTCCGTGGGGGAGGCTGTGTGCGTGTGGGCAGCGCCTGGCTCAGCTGGAGATGCCGGGGTGGGCGCCTGGAGGATGAGCCGGGTTTGGGTCAGCTTCCAGTGTTTTGTTTTGTTTTTTTTTCTTGACATGGCACACTACGAAGTGGAAACATCCAGTGAAGTCAAAACAGCTCAATGTGACTGAAGCAAAAGAGCCAAAAATGATGTTTGTTTTCATCCTCATGGGGAACTTGAAGTTAATGAGTCAGCTCTTGTTTTCCCATTACTTTAGTAACACGCCACTCTGACAGGTTCCTGCCAGGGGAGCACTTACAAGCTGCAGTTCATTTCATTAACATCACTTTATCCTACTCAGTGTGAGCTTTAAAACATGGACGTGGTTGCATGCTAGTGTGGTTTAGCTCTCTTCCAGCATTAAACACACAGCTCAAAGTTCACTTGGAAAAATCTTTAGGGTGTTGTATTCCTGAAACAAAGACCTAGGTCAGAGAATTAAAAAGTGAAGTTTCTCTGGCTTGTATTTACTTTGTGGAATGCTGTCAGAGGTTACTGACGCTGTCCTCTGAGTTATCCACCTGACTACTGCCAGGAGCAAGCACAGACACTCACCTTTGGTGACATTATGTTTTTGGACAAATTATTCCAAGGAAAGCAAATGTCACTTTAAGTGGTTCTTGCTGTGTATCCTCACAGAACACGCTCCTTGTCTCCCGCCTGGGTTTCCTGCTCCCCACAGTGGCCAGGCACACAGCTGGAGACAAGCAAAGACAGCACAGCCTTCCCTGTGTGCTCTGCTGAAGGCACCCCAGGGCAGAGCTGCAAACCTTCCTATGCTCCCCCTCCTCAACCCACAGCTTTTCCAGGGAGCCTCCAGCCTCACCTGGGATGCTTCTTACAATGGTACAGCCATAATGTAACCCTTTGACATAATTAACGAGAAAGGCAAATTCAGAAGCAAAAGCCAGAAAAGAGGTTTTCAGTCCCATTTATTATTAGGTTAGGCACCCAAAGTTAGTCCAACCTCTGTACTGAGACAACAGAAAGAACAGAGGAATTTGTTCTGATAAATTTGTAATTTAAATGCATAAGGAATGCAAGGAGTGATGGTGCAGAGAGCACAGAGGTGAAATGGAGCAGGAAAAGGACTGTCATGGTCCAACAGCTGCTCAGTCTGAGAACTCTGAGGATCTAACAGTAAAATAGTACAGAAAATTAATTTAGGGTCATCAGATTTGAAAAGGTCTTTACGAAATTCTCCACAATATTATAAAGAAATCAAAGTTACCCAGAGGTAATCACTATCATTAATTAAAGAGTAGTCGAAAAGCAAAGATCAAGAAAATAAATCATCAGGCAATTTTTAACATGGCACACTGGGTTTGCTCAGTGGAGTGTCATTTATTAACAATCCTGAAAGCAGAGCAAGGAGTAAAATTTGAAGATGGTAAGACATTATTTAAGTTACTCAAGATTAACTTAAATATGTCACCTACATGTTGTATTTAGGTCTGTGTGACTTTAGGACTGTAGCTTTAGCTATCCACAACTGAAAGTGCTATTACAGTCCATGGCATCTTTAATCTGTAAACTTGGATAAATGTGGGATAATGGAGTTAGGTACTATATGGCAGTCAGCTGTAACCAAAGGTCCCTGGGCAGCAGAGAGGAAAATAACAGTGACTAACAGCGATTGAACATGGTTTTCAGGCTTAGGTCACAGAAGAAGAAAAAGCAGAAAGTGTATACAGAAAAAAATAAGGATTTGAGGAGACGCTCTCATACATTAGGAAAACACTGAGAATGGTTACATTTCTTCACATGTGACTAAAAAAAGAGCACACACAGAAAAATCTTTAGATATATGGGAGAAGAATAAGAAACGTACATTGGGTCCTTTGCCTTCTGCCAGCCCTACTCCAAACTAGAGTCAGAAACAATCTGTCATCTTGAGCTACGGTTTAGTCCCACCTTCAGCTCCTAAACTGTTCTCAAAAATCCTCAGTTTTACCCATCACCAACAAAAAGTCTGTTGCAAGCCAGAGCCTGCCAAGCAAGAAGCCATTTTCTTGCTCAAACCCAATGTCTTTGTCCAATCAGAAAATTCAAACGGCAAATCGAGAATGACTAAAACACAGACCCTGCTGAAAATAACAGCTGGAAGCAGAGAGTTGAAAGTAGCGCCCAGCCTCTGGTGACTGCAGCCTGTCAAGTGAACATGAGTCAGGCAGGGAAGGAACCCTGGCTCCCCCAAAGCCGATTTAGTCAAGTATTTTTCATACCTACAGGCCCACACTTCCCAGAACTCCTCTCATCTGATTTCAGGGCTGTTTTGTTTTGTTTCTGTCTCAGTGAACTGTTCAATCACCCCTTTATATCTTTTGCCAATTTCTGGACCGAAATAAAACCCCTGTGCTTTGCGTTTCTTCCTCTCTCCACTGCTGCATCTGTTTCTACTCAGATGAGCCTCTTTCCCTTCTTGAAGCAACCCAGCAGCTGCTTTTGGATTTCCCTCATCAGAGTATCTTATATAAAAATTTCTTAGCCATGAAAAATTATTTTTATTTCAGGACAACCCCTTGAAGTGGATTTTAAAGCTAGAAGGAAAACTCCTTTACACAGAGATTGACACAAGTGCTGAAAAGGTTACAGGGTCCTGTACCCAAAAGTATATGTGAAGGTTGGGAGGCACTAAACCAGAGGCAGAGCATGGCCCAAATTAAATGTAATGGTACAGGCCATCAGATAGAGCCTAACATAATGGTTTCCCTACTGATCTCAAGAAATCCCACTTCTGACACTCTTGAAATACACTCTGCTGTTATGACCAATGAGTACATGCAATTCCTTTATGGTCTGTAAGAACCAAAGAACATGCCTAGGTACAAGCTTGGTTTTCTCAAAGCCCACCCAATAAACATAAACGCTAGGGATGATGGTGGCAATGATAATCCAGCTTTCTGATTTCTAGTGGATGGCAACAGGCCTCAATGGCAAGCAAGGTAGAAATTAGGTTGGAAGGTGTGCAGAAAACGCTTTAGAAAATTATTGTAAAAAGACTAATTCTGTGATGCCTTTTCTCTCCCACACTGGATCAGAGGCCCAAGTAGGTGGACAAAAGGTGAAGGTTGCCAGGGAAAAGCAGGTACTCGGGGATCTGCTGGATCTTTCAGCCATGTAGCTCCTGCAGAGGCTTCAGAGGATGCTTAGGCTCCCTTTAAATGGAAAGTATATGAGCGCTCACAGGATGTCGCTTGCTCTCAAACTCACAGCATTGTGATTTGTGCCTCTAAATATCATTACTGAGCTTAGAAGACCTAGCTAGTGCAGCTCTTAGGTGGCTCTATCACATTTTGACTGATAGGATTAAGGTCTAGAAAAGATGTCAGAAGATCTCCCAGCCTATCCTACACAACCTTTTCACAACAGACATTGCAGGGAAGATTACAAGATCTTTGTAGGTAGAGGGAGAATCTTTTATATTGGGTTCAACACCCAAACTGCTTTAGAGGAGGTCTTCAGAAGTCAGATAATTGTATCATTAGACCAAGTGGCAAGACTCGAATAGCTGGCAGAACCATTCACTACTTCTGGGTCACACCTGGATGCAATGCACAGCTGGAGACACACTGCGCAGAGGGCTGCCGCGTTGGACAAAGGCAGCCTTGTTTCCCTATAGAGTGGGGAAAGCTGCGAGCCCTCTGCTGGCACCTATAGCTTTCCACATCCCAGGAGCCACCAGAAGTCAGGACCCAGCGTACAGCTTATAAATGCAGTAGATAAATTCATTACTGTAGGCTAGATGCACAATTATTTTGATACCCTAAACCCTTATGAATCTTTCCTGTTACATTTCCTGTGTAAAGATTTCTTGTAAAGATCTGGGGACACATACTGTGACGGACAGCTACATTTATAATAGTGCAGCAATCAGCCTCTGCAGCATTCAAAATTTTGCAAAAATCACCTTCCTCTATACAATACACGATGGCTTAGTTGCGCAATCTAGAATCTCATCTAGAAAAGACTGCAGACCTCAGAACCACCAAAGCTGTGCAGGGGACGACTTTGAGCACCAAAACTATCCTCATCAAAGTTTACAACCTTTCAAAAGCATAACTCAAGGAAGGGAAATAATGTTTCACTCTCCTTCAGCACATCTCACGTATAGCTCTCTGATAACTTCACTGGGGATGCAACACCTTAATCTATTTTACAAGGTGGGGAGGGGAGAGCACAAATTGTTAAGGTGATTTGCATGTGGCCCTGCCAGGGGCAGGACTGTTATTTCTGACTGCCAGTCTTGACACATTCCAACCTTGGCTGCAAGGGCTTGCCCAACACCAATTTGAACTAGCATCTCTTTACAGATCTAATCTCCCTGTTCAAAGTCTGGCTTTAACACAGCAATGGCTTTAATTTAACCCTGCCCAGTTCAGGTGTGATGTTTGTATGGATGCTTCATATATGTCTGAACTTCAAAGAGTACATGGGAGGACACAGCTGAAGTGCTAATATTCACAGCTGCCTTCTTGCAGCAAGAAAAGGGCGTAAAAATGTGCAGCATGGAAGAGCACTTGCACTCATAGCGCCTCACATGTGCCGGTTGTTGCTTAGTGCACACCCCTCAAGACAAAGGACGGTTATGCTACCTCTGCATGGCCTTCTGCAAACAGATAGCAACTTGCTCTGCCCCATACTCTGATCTGGCC